GACTATGGGATGGGGGTTACCAGGGGGAGGGGGTTGGGTGACATATTGATATCTATGATTACGCACGCTTTTGCCTCAGATCTTGCTTTGCTTAGCTGCTATCTTTTCATAACCAGTAAAAGTACTATTAATTCTGAAAAATGGAGTTAAGTGGTATCTTTCTTGGTTGCTGAGGGAGGCTGGCCTGACAATGGTCTTGGTATATATCAGGATATCATCTAAATAGACAAGTACCCCTTGATACAGATGCTCATGCAGCACCTTGTTAAGTAGCTGCATGAACACCACCACGGCTCCTTGCAGTCCAAAGGGCATAACCCAGAACTGGTAACTGCCTAGGGGACAATTGAAGGCTGTCTTCCATTCGTCACCAGCCTGAATGCATACCCTATAGTATGCCTCCCTGAGATCTAATTTTGTGAATATGCGTCCCTCTACTAACCTGGCCAGCATGTCTTTCATTAAAGGGAGAGGGTACACATACTCCACACAGACAGCGTTAGTCCCCCCGGAAGTCAACACAAAGGCGTAAGCTTCCTTTTTCTCCCAGAAAAGAATGGGTGTGGCTACCCTTGATCTAGCTGGCTCAATAAAGTCCTTTTTCAAGTTCCTTTCTATGTATGCCCTCATGGGGTAGAAGTCCTCTGTGGTCCCGAACCCTTGGTGGGCCTAGATACCAATCCCCTGTCATTCCTGCATGGGCCTGCCCCACATCGGCCTCTAGAGGTTCTGCTGTAGGCTTCCATGCCACCGAGTGGTCCTTAGGCCTTACATCCAATGTTGCCTCTTCTGCTGGCCCTGACACAGCCTCCAGCATAGTTGTATCAGTTGCCATGGCAGACTCCTCCGAGTCCTCAGCCTCCAACCCCAGCACTGTACCTTCATCTATGGTGTGAGCTCTGACAAAACTGTCAGGTTCCAAACGGTTAAGGAATACAGCCAAACACATATACCTGTGGTGCTGGGAATTCACCATAATAACCAACTACCAACTGCTCACCTGGCTGCAGCCTATGAAACATACCAATTCATGGTTAACAAGATGGGCCACACAGAGAAATTTCCTCAACACCAGACAAAGTCACTCAGATTCTTTTCCAGTTGGAACCCGTGACTGGTGTAGGTCCACATGAGGTGCCTGGGGAGGGGTCTTGCCTAGTTAACTTGGAACAGTTCAATCTGGTTTGACCTGGTTAAGTGACAGGGCCTCAACACTGTCATTGCAACCACCTGCCAATTTGATCCTTGTCTCTCCTGGTTGGTGAAAACCTGTAGAATGGTGATCACCAGGTGGGTTCAGGCAGTGATTAATTCCTCATTGCAAGATGTGATGTTCCCAGGGCCTTTTAAGGAGGCTCTGGTTCATCCCCTCCTTAAAACACCAACTCTGCATCCCACCTGCCTGGACAATTTCCATCCAGTCTCTCATCTTCCCTTCCTAGCAAAGGTGGTAGAAAAAGTGGTTGCCTGGCAGCTTCAGAGGGCCCTGGATGAAACAGATTATCTAGACCATTTTCAGTCAGGATTCAAGTCCATTTATGGGACAGAAAAAGCATTGGTCACACTTGTTGATAATCTCTGGCAAGAGTGGGATGGGGTAGTGCAACCATCTTCACTCTCCTTGACCTCCCAGCAGCCTTTGATATCATTAACCATGGTATTCCTTTGGACCAGATATGGGGCTTGAAGTATGGAGGAGATCTGAAACAACTGGGTTTCTTCCTTGCCCAGGTGTGGAACTACATGCAGGAGTACAGAGCAGACCTGGCTACCAAAGCAGCCCAGGTCATGTGCATGACCATGGCTCTGGAGGGCACCACAGTGGAGTGGATGGTCTCCCTCCACAATGATGATGCACCCAAACTACAAAGCTTTAATCGGTTCATGATGGCCCTGAGCAAGCAGTTTGAAGACCCATTTGCCCAACGCAAACCATGAACCCGCATTAAAATCATTAATTGGGGCACAGGAGAGTGGCAGCCTACAATCAAGAGTTCCGTGAGCTGTCATGCCAGCTGGCCGATTGGCTGGAAGACATCCTGATAGAGTGCTTCCAAGATGGGCTCAATGATGGGTACAACACCTGCATCTTGCGGGAAGCCCTCATACCTTCCGCCAATGGTACATGTTAGCCAAAGAGGTGGAAATTGACCTGGCCAGATCCTGCAGCTGCAAAGCCCGTGGATGACACCATTGCTCCCCATTGGAGAAGAAGGATGCCCCTAGAGCACCTGGGTGCAACCTCAGTCCCCATGGGCTGTTTCAAATGTGGAAGGGAGAGGCACCAGGCTGCCAGCTGCCAATTCACCAAAGCAACCCCAAACTCCAGTGGCAGTGTGGGGAAGAAGGTGGAAAAGCCCCCAGGAATATTAGGATCTAAGGGAGGTTTTTAGCAAAAAGGTATCCAGTGCACTCCCACCTCACTGGCTGACAAACTGCGCCTGGGAGCTGGAGGAACTTTGCACATTCATAGACAAGAAACTACAATGTGGGTTCATCTAGCTGGCCAGGCCCCAAGTAGCTGCCCCGGTTCTATTCTGAGAAAAGAAAGATGTTGCTCTCCACTTGTGTGTGGATTACCATGGGCTCAATGTGGTCTGTGTGGAGAATGTGCACTCGCTGCCTCTCATGAAAGACATGTTAGCCCATCTTAGGAGAAGCCTATTACTGTGTCAGAATTAAGGAAAGAGATGAGTGGAAGACAGCATTCAATTGCCCCCTGGGGTATTTCCAATTCAGGCTGCTCCCCTTTGGCCTGCAAGGGGGCCCTGCTGTGTTCATGCAATTAATAAACAAGGTCCTGAGTGAACACAAGGGTGTTTGTGTATTTAGATGACATACTAATCTACCCTGAAATGAAGGACGAGCATGTGAAACTTGTGTGAGTAGTGCTAAAAATATTATGGGCGGCCGAGCTGTACGCTAAACTCTCAGAGTACGAGTTCCATCAGGACAAGATAGAATACCTAGGGTATTGGATTTCACATGGAAATGGACCCAGAGAGCAGTGCTAAAATGCCCTTCCCCCTTGCACAAGGAAGCAATTTCAAAGGTTCCTGGGGTTTGCAAACTTTTACTGGCAATTTATTCCCTCTTTTGCGCAAATTGCCTTACCTATCACGAACTGATTAAAGACAAAAGGGGAGGGCAAGCCCAAACGTACCCTACCCAACCCCTGAAGTGGACTATGGAATGCTAGGTGGCGTTCAAAAAACTTAAGCAGCTGCTCACAGCAGAGCCCGTGCTAAGACACCCGAACCCAGATGCTCCTTTTGTCATGCAAGCAGATGCTAGTGATGTAGCTGTAGGGGCTATATTGCTGCAGGAGAACCCCCAAGGAATCCTTCAACCCTGCACCTATACCTCCATAAAACTGACTGACATTGAACAGAGGTGGGCAGTGTAGGAGAAGGAGGCTTACGCAGTCCAATGGGCATTACTAACCTGGTGGCATTTCCTAGAGGACTCTAAACCCCCTTTTGAAATGTGGACAGAACATAAGAACTTGGAAGTCTTAACCCCATGGAAATCCCACTGGGCACAATACTCCAACCACTTTAATCTCACCCTGCACTACATCCGTGTGTTTGTGTGTGTGTGTTTCCTAGTGGATGCCCTGTCCCGATTACCACAATACAACAGTGCCAGGCCCAAGATTATCAGACCAGTCATTCCTTCAAACCAATTGGCAGCAGCACTAATCATGAGAGGCCAGAGGAAAATCGAGCTGGGCATCCCTGACAAAATATTAGACCAACTGAGAGCTGCCTTAAAAATGATGAATGGCTGATAGTTCACAAAGAAGAGTGCACTATGAGGGATGGACTGGCCTGGGTAGGGGCAAAACTATATGTCCCTGTCCCCTTGCACACTATTGTTTTGCAGACCTGCCATGATTCAAAAGTGGCAGGGCATTTTGGCTTTGTAATGACATTACATTTGGTCAAATGGCAATTTTGGTGACTGTCCCTCAAAAAAGACATTGAGAGCTATGTGGCCAGCTGCCCGGTGTGTGCTTCAGCAAAAAGGCAACCAGGGAGACCCATGGGATTATTACAACTGGTAGCAAACCCCCATGCACCTTGGAAATAAATTTCTATGGACTTTATAGAAGACGGGAACACCGTCATTTGCGTGGTTACAGACTTATTCTAAAAACAAGTCCATTTCATCCCATGCCCTAAAATCCTATCTGACTGCACCTTAGCCAAGCTATTTGAACAACATGTTTACCAACTGCATGGCATCCCTGATCACATCATCTCAGACTGAGGGGTAAAATTCACTTTGCGAATTTGGTGTGAATTTTTGAAATTGATGGGGACCACCCAAGGCTTAAGCTCCTCCCATCACCCCCAAATGAATGGAAGTTGCGAGAGAATCAATTCAGTACTGGAACAATACCTCAGATGCTACCTTAATTATCAACCAGACAATTGGACTGTTCTATTGCCGTTTTCGGGGGTGGCATATCATAACTCAGTACATAGCAGTGCTGGATTTACTCCCGCTATGGTAGCCTCAGGTCAGGACTTTGTGGCAATCCCCAAGCTACCCCTGGAGAAACCCCAGATCCCCTCATTGATGGAGTGGATACAACAATTGCAAAATATTTGGNAGTTTGGCGGTTTGAATCCCTAGTGCCAACGGCGTGAGCTCCTGTTACTTGTCCCAGCTTCCATCAACCTAGCAGTTCAAAGGCACATAAAAATGCAAGTAGAAAAATAGGGACCACCTTGGTGGAAAGGTAGCAGCGTTCCGTGCGCCTTTGGCATTTAGTCATTGGGTTTAGTCATTAGAGGTCGGGAACGACTAACACATATGCGCAAGGGGAACCTTTACCTTTAGATCTCAGAAGCTAGAACTCTTTCAAGAGAAAGAAATAACCTGAACTCCAAAGAGACGCTGGGCTCAGATCTCAGCTGAGAAAAAAAAATGCTGCAGGTATATTTCAGCTCCTTTGGAGAAGTGGAAAGATTGTAAAGTTGATGCTGTTTTTGTGCATTTAAGCTGACATAATGGGACTTAAAGCTAGCGTGGGATTTATGGTTGCCTGCCACATGGAAAACAATATCCAGATATTTCAAGGTCTTAATTTGCTCTACTGGACGATTGTTTCATATCAGACATGTCCCTTGGTTTTGGACTAATTAATTCCTAGCTGTTTTTCTCAGCAGGGCTCAGCTGCTGTATAAAGTGCCCATTTCAGAAAGAGTAAATTATTTTGTTTATAAAATTGTATAGTAGCCTTTTTCATTGTTAAAATCCAATCTCCGATGGCTGAATTTTTTTCAAGATTGTCCAAATGTGAGAGAGATTTTAGTGTTTGCATATAAGATTATATGATACATGGAGGTGAGAGCCGGATGTTAAAAAATAAATTTAAAAAATTTAAAAAGGCCAAAGAAGCAGTACCCACCAATTAAAATGTTGCTGACTCCTCTTTTGAGTGATAACAGCTTTTCAGGGTTCAAGATGAGAATTCTTAGATCACGCCTGCTACCAAAGATTCTTTACCTGAAATTTCAGAATATGCATTTTTCTCTTGCCAGAGATATAATCTTTAACAAAGCTATGGGTTTCTCAAAGTCACTTTAAAACAGAGGTGTCAAACTCAAGGATCCGGGGACCCGGTTGCTTAGATCTGGCCTGTGGGATTGCCCTGGAAACAGCAGACTGGCCTGCGGTGGCTCTGCTAGCGAAAACAGATCTCCCATGGGCTGTGGGCACACCTCCCAAGCTATGCTTTCGCTGGCAGAGGGTTGCAGGAGGCTGTTACAGCCAAAAATGGAGCTCATTTTGTTGGCAGAGTGCTCAGGTCACCACAGGCACCCCGACATGAGTGATCTTGAGCTGCCCATGACTACCTCGGCCACAGTCATCCTGCCTCCTTCAGGTCAATCAAATCCCTGATGTGGTCCTCAATGAAATCGAGTTTGACATCCTTGCTTTAGACTAATAACTTTATTCTGTCTGTCTCTCAAAGTTTTGTGATTTCTTCCCTCCTCCCTGCCAACATTGTGGATTGTGCTTTTATTTCCCAACAGAATATATACATATTATCTTTTTTTCTAAATAGAGGCAAAGCCCTCCCTTTGGAATGGATTCTCTGAAGTTTTATTTGGAAGGGCCTCCTGAACACATGGAATAATAAATATTTTTGTATAAAAGTTTCGTTTTCAGCATGGAGAATATGTGGTTAAGTACAAACATCAGTAATGCTCGTAAAGGTAATGGAGATCCTATAATTATTTTTGTGCAAATGACAATTTTACATTTTGTCCAATTAAAATGTGAAAAAATGTTCTAAGAGATTAGAAACATTTATAGGAATATTTAAGAATGACTTGGCTATTTTCAATATGTATTTCAATAAATTAAGATATTTCAAAGTTGACAGATCTGTCAAAATCTAAATGTAGTATTTCTGCAAATTACATGCTGGTGTGATTTTAAAAAAAAATCCTAAGAATTTTCATGAGGACTGAGACAAAATTATACAAAGTTTGGCTGTTATAAATCTTTAAGCCAGGTTGCTATGTCATCTCGGTACAGTTTTAGCCATTCGATGTTGCTCTTTGTAGTTTCCAAAGCTTGCTTTCTTGAGGCTTCTCCTGCTCCAGCATCAGGATATCTCTCAAAGAAATTTTCCATCTTAAGAAGATAAAACATGTGCAAATATTAACAACATAGAACTGATTTCTCAGAAGACCAAACAGTTTCGCGTATCTCCAGTTTGCAGAATTTTTCAAAGATCTACAAGTCAATAATTATCAAATATATTTTGTAAATAGGCTTTGAGCTTGGTTATACCTGATGGGTCGTTATGCATCTAAGTTTAACACTATGCATCGGCTTTGGAATGAAGCCTGAATTCTGAATCAGAGTAATTCAAAACAGATTATAATTTACACAACATAGAGTGAACACTTTTTAATCACACCTGATTTTGATTTCAAACTTCACTCCTGATTTGTTGCACTGGAATTTTGGTGCATTATGGTTGTCATGCTAAAATTTACTGATTGAAAGAAATACCAGGGTGGGGAGAAGGAGGAGACTGAATTTAGTGACCAAGATGTACACCTCAACTCAAAGTGACCCTTCCAATCACTCTGGTTCAAGTGACTCATGTCATCCTATCAGCAGGAATCTGGAGAATTCTTGAAGCCAAAGATAACTTTTGTTTTACCATTCACACCATCTGATTTTTTTACTAGACTTTCACCCGTCATTTTGTGACTGCGTTTGATGTGTTGTCTTAACTAGCTGATAGGAAAAGACCAATGAGCCAATCTTTTAGATTTCTGATGATTTTGAACGTCAGATGCACAAGATGTGCATGATCAAATGTTACCATCATTAACTCCTCTGCTATATAGCTGTTTTACAGTCCCCAAGATATTCTTCATGAAAGTGCCATTTTTCTGCAAAATCTCCCCACACAGCACGGACCTTATAGAATTTAAAACTTTTTTTAAGTAGCAAAACTTGAAAGTCCTTGCAATTGACTCATCTCCTTTAATGGTCTAGCTTTTCTTAAACATATTTTGTTCTGATTTTTTCTTTAAAAAAAGAGTTACTTACTTGCTAACGTTCCTCTTTTCATTTTAAAGAATAACTATGTCTGAACTAGGAAATGTCCCCCACAGATGTTAGATTATTCACAGACTGTAAACATTCTTGGTTATAACTTCCCATATTTCTTTTCTTCCTTAATAATATCTAATGAGTTGCTTGGTTTGGAATGTGTTAGTACTGGGCAGGGATGAAATTCAGCAGATTCTGACAAGTTCTGAGGAACCGGTAGTGAAAATTTTGAGTAGTTCGGAGAACTGGGAAATACCACCTCTGGCTGGTCACAGAGTGGGGTGGGAATGGAGATTTTGCAGTGTGCTTCCCCTGCCACGCCCACCATGCTACTACATCCACAGAACTGGTAGTAAAAAAAAATGAATTTCACCACTGGTACTGGGGTATGTACAGGCCCTACTCTTGGTTACCATGTACATTCTAAATTATTCCCCACCTTAAACTGAGTGAGTTATGCAATTTTCAGAGACTATTTACAGGAAAACTAGAAAGAGTGGAAAAGAACAAGACTTCCTGACAAACGGGGAAAACAAAGAAAGATGACACATGAGCTAGGTGGCCATATAAGTCCTGAAAATAAATACATTTAGGATGGATTAGGAAACTTTATTGCCAGCAAGGACTGCAAATTCTTTTTCTTTTCTTTTTCTTTTTTTATCTTTTGAGGGTTGCAACAAACTTGAGGCTTGTGGCTGGAAATGAAATTTTTCCCTTGATTTGTTATTGTTTTATTTTACTTTGTTTTGTGGAGGAGGAAGGGAGTTAGAGTTGATTGGCTTATATTGTACAGGTAGTCCTTTGGGGAACTGTGGCCTTCTGTGCTAGCTTTGAGCTGACCGGTACTGCTGTATGTATTGTAGTATTTTGTTTGCCACAAAAAAATGGCAGGAGCAATATTCCTATTAGATTTCCATTACCAAGTTCTTGTTCTGGTTTTATCATTCTAGTTAATGCTTATATACATGCCCAATAAAACTGTTTTATTTTGAAGTGTCAGGAGACTATACAATCAGAACTCAGCAAACTTTTATGAGTTGCCAGTGCAACAATCAAGAAATCACTCGCCCCTATCAATATCCATCTCATTAAATAGGTGCACCTAGAAGAGGAATGAGGAATAGTCCCTTGGCAGTTTTCATATTTAGAAAATTGGATAGCTGCACAGTAGCAAACCATGTTGTGTCTTACCTGCCAAAGCTGGAGCTCTGTGTTAAATGTGCCTGATATTCTTGATATTAGGCGACCAAGATTTCTATCATTAAGAGTGTATCTGTGAAAAAAGAAGATATTTATATTTGGCAATAGCAATAGCACTTAGACTTATATACCGCTTCGTGGTGCTTTACAGCCCTCTCTAAGTGGTTTACAGAGTCAGCATATTGCACCCAACAATCTGGGTCCTCATTTTACTGACATCAGAAGGATGGAAGACTGTGTCAACCTTGAGACGGTCAGAATTGAACTGCTGGCATTTGGCAAAATTAGCCTGCAATACTGCTTTCTAACCACTGTGCCACCGCAACTCCTTATACATCCTTATTTATGCATGCAAAACGTGGTGGCTATTACATATTGGCTTTCAAGATAAAATAATTAGTGGAAACAGAATCATCATCATCATCATCATCTCTCAGCTAGTGGCCACTTGATAAGGACTAAACCTAATTGAGATCCATTACCTACTGCAGAACATTCCAGAAGACATTTTGTTAAGCCTCAAAATTTGAAGGCCTGGTGCTTGTTTCAGACAGGCTTTAAATGCTGTGAAGTAAGCCTTAGTAAAACTTCTAGAGTAGTCCAATGATGGTGACCCTAGGGCACGTGTGCCACAGGTGGCATGCAGAGCCCACTCTGCAGGCACGTAAACCATCACCCCAGCCCAGCTCCACCGCACATGTGCACGTGCCTCCAGGGGGTAGCGTAAGCATGCGTGGGGGCATGTGCACATGTGGGCACATGCAGGGGGATTGCATCTGTATTCACGGGGCGGGGTAGTGCAGGGGAGTGACACACATGCACAGGGATGGGGCACACACAGGGGGGTCACATGTTCATGCACGGTTGGCAGGGTTACGCAGGGAGGTTGAACATGCATTGCATTATGGATGTGCATGCACTCACTTTCAGCACACAGCAACAAAAAGGTTAGCAATCACGGGCATAGTCCATATACAGCACTAGCGGCTAGCCCAAGATATTTTGTGGCTTCCATAGAGGAGATATACTCAGGCAATGTGGTTTTTTTGAAGTTTTGTCAAATTTTGTTGTAAAATGTACAGTAGTTTGATTAGCATCCTTATCTAAACTAACTATTAGTTAATTGTACGTGATATGCCTTATAGATTAGTCATTGACTGTAATAAACTCAATCTTTCTCTTTCCCTCTTGCTACTGAAGAGCAAAAAACACATATTTTTTTTCATTCTGAGGAGAAATGATGTGATTGGCAGGGGCATCTTATTTTCACAGGACCAATGGAAGAGTCCCCTTCAAGCCAGAACCTGGGATGCAACCAACAATTTCTTCCAAAGATTTGCTGCCACAAGAGAAAATACTCTGGCTTGATCCTGCTTTGATTGACCTTTTCTGTCCTTCGTTTTAATTCACCTTTTATATTTTCATAGACTATCTGAGTAGGAGAAACCAGAGGTTATTCCAATCATAGAAATAGCTCATTCTGTTTTTTTAAGCCAGAATCTGAATAGGGGACTTACGACCTATTGACTTGTTCAATTCCCTTTTCTAGCATGGCTCATCACAAATATCAGGCCCTGGAGGTTTAATACTTTTTCAGCTTCATCTGCAGCTATGCATTTCTTTCTTCGTCATGTGATGCGAGAAGAGGCCCCAAATGTCTTGAGAAAGTTCTGTATAAACTGTCAGCATTCCAACTAACACAGTTTCTCACAGTAGAAAATATGGCAGGCATAAAGGCCCAAATGTAAAAGATGGCTTTCAGGTCTGACATAAACATTACCATATTTTTCGGAGTATAAGACGCACATTTTCCCCTCAAAAAAGAGGCTGAAAATCTGGGTGCGTCTTATACACTGAATACAGCATTTTTTTGCCTCCTGAAACTATGCCCCCTTCACCAAAATGGCCGTGCATAGCCTTTAGGAGGCTTTCAGAGTGCTCCTGGGGGCTGGGGAGGGCAGAAAAGAGTGAAAAACGGGCCGTTTTTTTGCTAACTTTTGACACCCCCCCCCAGCCCCCAGGAGCACTCTATAAGCCTCCTAAAGGCTATCCACTGACATTTTGGTTGAGGGGGTGGGATTTTGGGAGGCAAAAAAATGCTGTATTCAGTGTATAAGACACACCCAGATTTTCAGCCTCTTTTTTGAGGGGAAAAGGTGCGTCTTATACACTGAATACAGCATTTTTTTGCCTCCCAAAATCCCACCCCCTCAACCAAAATGTCAGTGGATAGCCTTTAGGAGGCTTATAGAGTGCTCCTGGGGGCTGGGGGGGGGTGTCAAAAGTTAGCAAAAAAACGGCCCGTTTTTCACTCTTTTCTGCCCTCCCCAGCCCCCAGGAGCACTCTATAAGCCTCCTAAAGGCTATCCACTGACATTTTGGTTGAGGGGGTGGGATTTTGGGAGGCAAAAAAATGCTGTATTTAGTGTATAAGACACACCCAGATTTTCAGCCTCTTTTTTGAGGGAAAAAGGTGTGTCTTATACACTAAATACAGCATTTTTTTGCCTCCCAAAATCCCACCCCCTCAACCAAAATGTCAGTGGATAGCCTTTAGGAGGCTTATAGAGTGCTCCTGGGGGCTGGGGAGGGCAGAAATGAGCT